GCGAGAAGTATGGCAGGAAGGACTTGAAGTATCAGAACTGGAGGTGGCAGCCTTACCAGTGTGACCTCCCAAGGTATGCACTCTGATACGAAAAGGTTATGGTTTTTTGCTCCTATATGAATTCGAACTCTGAAATATCCAAATCTATTCGTGTTGCAAAGGTTCAACGCGATAAGTTTGTTAAACAGGTTAAGAGGTAAGAGGCTTGTGTTTGTTGGCGATTCAATGAACAGAAATCAATGGGATTCACTGGTCTGCTTGGTGGAATCATCAATTCCTTCAGCATCTAAATCGAGACAGATAATCGGCAATTTATTCACCTTCAAGGCCAGTGTGAGTTCCAACTGCTTCACATTTGGTATTTGCTTTTAATCATTTTGCACAGGCATTTTTTAGGACTGGGTTCTACCCCAAAAGATTAATCTATTAGTTGAAATTACCCAGTTGCTTTATGAGCCGACGTGGGACTTATGCTTGAGCATCTCCAATGGTGTTATTAACATGTGAAATTGCTTGAAGTTCAGGAATACAATGTCTCCATTGATTTCTATTGGTCCCCGTTGCTAGTTGAATCCAACTCAGATGATCCGGTGAACCATAGTTTACCAGATCGAATTGTTAGAGTTCAGGCAATAGAGAAACATGCCAGGCATTGGACTGATGCAGATATTATCATCTTTAACACATATCTTTGGTGGTTAAGGCCTACCATGAAGGTTCTGTAAGTGAATTCTTCACACACCTATCTGCAAGCAAGTCATGAAACTAGAAACTTTTGCTCCAAAATTTGTGAGCATTAAATGACATAGCTTATTCTGTAACATTAATCAGGTGGGGATCATTTGAGAGCCCAGACGGAAAATACAAAGAAATAGACATGCTAAGAAGTTATGAAATGGCTCTAAAGACATGGTCAGATTGGTTGGAAATCAATGTTAATAGAAGCAAGACACAGCTATACTTCATTAGCATGTCCCCAGCTCACCTAAGGTATATAATATATTTTTGTAATTTTTCACTTGTATGGCCGTGATAAAAATTAAACCAAACTTGGCCCATGTCAATGCTTCAAATACCATGTCATGTGATATTTATATTTGCAGAGGTGATGAATGGGGCACTAGTGCAAATCAAAACTGCTATAAAGAAACAGAACCAATATTCCAGAAAGGCTACTTGGAAAGTGAAACAAATCAGAAGATGATGAGAATAGTAGAGAGTTCTATTGAGGAATTAAAATCAAGAGATTTGGAGGTACAAATACTCAACATAACACAGCTTTCAGAGTATCGAAAAGATGCTCATCCATCTATCTACAGAAAACAAAGGGTGGCTATAACTGAAGAGCAAATGTTGAATCCTAGAAGTTATGCAGATTGTGCACATTGGTGCCTTCCAGGAGTGCCCGATGCCTGGAATGAGATTATGTATGCTTATATTATTAAGTACAGCAACATCCATTGAAACTGGCATTTGGATGTCCCATTGTTTAGCTGTTTAAGTTTTCATATCGGTCGATTTAATGTGATATGAGAGCAAGTAAATGTCTTTGAGTTTGAGTCATGAAGCTACATATCTAAATATTGTGTGCATGTCCAGTCTTTGACTAAAGTGAACCTGGCTTGCACTTGAGGAGGCTGTGTAAAGACAAAATATAAATAAAACCATGTGTACCTTTTCTATTGACTTGAGCATTTAGAGAACTGATTTAGTTTTCCATAAGTTGTGGTGAATTTGTAGAAGTTTTTTTGTAAAGAACAAGTTAAGATTCCAGTTTTGCTACCACAAAAAAATATTTATCATGCTTAAGCTTTGGCTTTGAACTTGTGTAACTTCCCAACCCCAGAGGAAAATACCTGCCGCCTTGTATTGAGGAAAATACTGAACATTTGGCAAATCTGCTATAGAATTAAAGGCTTATTTGATAGGATGGATTATACAGGACACAACACAATTAAGGCTAAAAAAGAAAAATAGATGGAGTTTGAAGTTGTTCGGTACTTGGTGTACCGTCACATGCTAAAATGAGAAGAACTTCACCAAACGACACAAAGAGAATACAAAAGAGTATTACATACCAAGTGTTAGGTTATAAAGTTGTTAGCAATCTTTTGACAAAACTATTGTTATAGAAGAGTTTTTTAAAAGTCAAAGTGTCAAGTGGTTAGTTAGAAGTCTTAGGGTTCAAGTATGGAACGAGAAGGAAAAAGTTATGGCAAATTCGCTAGTCTATCGCCCAGCTGATGCTCGAGCGGTAAAAACAGAAGCTATGTCACCCGCCTGTCGCCTGGACTTCACCTGAGCGAGACACTGTCACTTGCCTATCGCTGAGCTGTTGCTCGAGCGACGGTGTATTCCGAGGAAAACTAATTCGTGTTTTTCAAGATTTTTATCTAGCCCATACTACCCAAAACCTCTTCATTGTATATATGGACGCCACCATTCCAAAAATACAAGTTGACCATTGAGAGAAACAAGAATTTACATCCTCCATATCATTCCTAGCGTTCAACCTTCATTTTAATTTGATCATTACTTTGAAAAACATCAACCTCACATAAACCAAACATCAAAACACATACTTCCGCAACATCCGTCAGAGTTCTGAAGATCAAAGAAGGTGACCGGAGTTTCTAGTTGTTGGAAAATGAGGAGTTCTCATTGATCCAAAGGAGATGCACGAATTCAGAAGGTCGGGAAATGGTGCAGAAGCAAGCAATCCAAGAGGGCTTTGGTGATTACAGTCAGAAGGTCAGAAAGTATTAGAGATAGTTGAGTCTGATAGTACTGTAAGTTGATTCGTTTATAATGAATTGTTACTAGCTTGGGTCCGGAGTTTTTACTGAGTTACGGGTTTCTCCGTCATCATATTTTTCGTTATTTACTGCTTTCTATATAACTGCGGCATTCATATTATAGGAAAATTGAATTGATTGACTAATCATCCAAAAACAATTAAAAGTGATTTGTTGCTTATTAATTGTTAATTTTAATTTAATGTTATGGTTGAACTAGTAACTAACATATAGTTTAAAAAAGGAGAAACTAATTTTTAATGATCATTACTTTGAAAAACATCAACCTCACATAAACCAAACATCAAAACACATACTTCCGCAACATCCGTCAGAGTTCTGAAGATCAAGGAAGGTGACCGCAGTTTCTAGTTGTTGGAAAATGAGGAGTTCTCATTGATCCAAAGGAGATGCACGAATTCAGAAGGTCGGGAAATGGTGCAGAAGCAAGCAATCCAAGAGGGCTTTGGTGATTACAGTTAGAAGGTCAGAAAGTACTAGAGATAGTTGAGTCTGATAGTACTGTAAGTTGATTCGTTTATAATGAATTGTTACTAGCTTGGGTCCGGAGTTTTTACTGAGTTACGGGTTTCTCCGTCATCATATTTTGCGTTATTTACTGCTTTCTATATAACTGCGGCATTCATATTATAGGAAAATTGAATTGATTGACTAATCATCCAAAAACAATTAAAAGTGATTTGTTGCTTATTAATTGTTAATTTTAATTTAATGTTATGGTTGAACTAGTAACTAACATATAGTTTAAAAAAGGAGAAACTAATTTTTAATTAATTGTTAATTTTAATTCCGCATAAACAGCAGCTCATCAGACATTCTTCAGTTTTCTTACTGGTAACTTCTCCCTTGTTTGGACTAGCTGGAGTATGGAATGGGCTGTTTATCTTTATGACTCTCTGTGTAGTAGCTGGACTTTCTGGTAAACTGATTCTACCTCCTCCCCTCACCCCACGAATAAAAAAGCATATAAAATGGCATCTGATCTAGGAACATATGGAAAAAGAATGATTCTATGTGAAGATTTTTGTCTGTGCTATGTGGTCCTTATAATATCCTGATTCCTGACTATGCTGTCTAATTCTGTGTAGTTTGTTTCTCTTTGACACATATGAATTGCATCCCCTTTATGCACATTAATGAAATTTATTCTTAATTGAAAAATGGAAAGTTGGGTTCTCTTTTATGAAAATATTTGAATCTGTAGACATGTTATAATTTTGTGGCCAAACATCACGAGGATATTCGAAAAGCCACCTTTGGCACTGCGCAATGATGAATTTCTTCTAACTTCCAAATTGTTCCACTGGAAGCTCTTGATTTTAGGCTAAGCACAAGAAGTGGACCATTAAAATAGCTTCAGTTTGGTGTTGAAAAGGATGGCAACTGAGCCGCAAAAAGTAATTTGTCTAAGGCTCTTTCCATTATTTGCATAATAAAAGCAATGACGAATGACCTGTCTATGAACACATACACCAGGTAAACAATTCGCAACTATATACCCTAAACTGATGCAGATTCCTATTGTAGATTTGTTGTCTGAGATTTCTAGGCTACTCTTGCTGACTGGCGTTATTGCTTTTATTGAGCTGCTGACAACATACATCCTAGTTTGATGATAAAGTTGTACATTGAAAGAACGCGTCTTAGAATATTTATGAGACAAGGAGGGCTTGATGGTTCCCAGACTTTTGTTTATCAGTAGGATTTTTGATGATTTATCAACTTGTACAAAATTGACAAACAAAATCAAAGCCCCCACCCCCGTTGTATAATTTTCACTTCCAATTCTTAATGTGTTTCAACTTCGAATATAGTTTTCTGGAACTTTTTGCATCTGATCAACTTGTTGTAGTTCGGTGTTCCAAACATTCTTTCACTCCAGACAACGTTTTTACTCATATTACTGTAGAGTTTTTATTAGGATACAGTGTTCAATAGAACCAATAGATGATATTAACAGCTTCGATTGAGAAATGCAAAATTCGACCAGAGTTCTGCTGTAGGTGTATGTACATTAAACAAACAGAAAAGACCAGATTTTATTTAAGCCGGACATTATAAAAAATAAGTGAATGAATAAATAATGCTTACAAATCCTAACTGTATGTATACTTTAGAATAAAAAGATTCTTGTCTGCTTATATCTGTTGTCCTGCTTCCTTTCATCTCTGCAATTCCTCCCTTTCATTCAGTTTTTCCGGCAAACGCACCAGCACCAGCATCACCAGAGCTTTCTGCTGTGCTCGCTGCCAGCTCCGGCCTTATCTCCTCCAGTTTCTGAAGAACTTCCCGAGCTTCAGGCCGCGCTGATGGAGAAGGGTCGACACAATGCAGAGCTAATTTTAATGTATTTAGCAATTCATCACCATTGTTGGATTCATCCCGGATAAGCTCCACATCAAAAACTTCATTAGTCCACTCCTCTTTCACAATAGATGCCACCCATTGGGGCAGGTCGAGGCCATCAGTCGCCTCACTGGGTGATTTTCCTGTTAAGAGCTCCAATATGACTACTCCAAGGCTGTAGACATCAGTCTTGGTGCTTGCATTCTTGAGTTTCGAAAGCTCTGGTGCACAATATCCCATCGTCCCTGCAGTCGCAATCATGTTGGTGTTTGCAGCAGTTGTCATCAGTCGATATAGGCCAAAATCTGCTATTTTGGGATTGTTGTGCTCGTCAAGTTGTACGTTGCTCGATGCAAGACTCCCATGTTTTATATTGTCTTCGGTGTGAAGGTAGCAGAGTCCTCTGGTTATACCAATAGCTATGGTCAATCTTGTTGGCCAGGGAATGCTCGTTTCCGGTCCTCTTGCTGCATAGAAAAACATGTCATAGATAGTTAATATAATCAATCAGGTCATGTTCGGTATGCAATTCAAGACACAGTCATAGGGAATGCTCGTTTCTGGTCCTCATGCTGCATAGAAAAACACGTCATAGATAGGTAATATAATCAATCCGATCATGTTCGTATGCAATACAAGACACGAGTCGACCACAAACTAAATAAAATTTCAACTTTGTTTTATTGCTTACCATGAAGGAAGGTTGAGAGACTGCCATTCGACATATAATCATAGACGAGAAGCTTCTCTCCTTTAGGTCCCATGTAATAAGCTCTAAGGGCCAAGATATTCGGATGTCGAACCTTTCCAAGTTCTGCAACATCGATTTCAAACTCTTTCTGTGCTTTTGTCATCTTCTCCCTTAGCCTCTTCACAGCAACTTGATTACCATCCTCCAATGTTGCTTTGTACGCGGTCCCATAACTGCTCTTTCCCATTATTTCTGCAGTTGCACATAATAAATCGTCAGCTGTAAAGACAAATGGACCATCAAAGTGGACTAGTTTTCCTCCAGCTTCACCGCCGGATTCAACTTCCCTTTCTGCACCCGGAACTGGCTTTGCACCTTGACCTATGGAAGCCAGCCCCTTTTTACCATCTTTAGTTTTTGAAGCTGCTCTTTTTCTGATCAAGCAACATAGCAATACACAGCATAGAATTAGTAGAACAACTAGAAGGGCTCCGGCTGCTATGAGAATTATGTCCTTCGTACTCAGTTTTCGATGGTGATTCTTTGGTGCCGCTTTTGAAGGGGAAGGAAGATTTTCCGGTGGGGGAGAAGCACATGGAGTTGAGCTACTGTATCCACACAGCTGAATATTACCCATAAAAGAGCTTGAATTGAACTTCCTCGCCAAAACAGATGGAACAACACCGGAGAGATTATTATATGAAACGTCAAAAGAAGCAAGATTTGATAGATTTACAAGGGAATTGGGAATTTCCCCAGTGAGATGGTTTTCTGATAAATCGAGGAAGGTGATACCAGAGATATTCCCAATAGTATCTGGAATATGGCCTTTGAACTGGTTGTTGCTTAAGTTCAGAACGGAGAGATTTCTTAATTTCCCAACGGAATCTGGAATTTGGTTATCGAGTTGGTTGTTTTCAAGATTTAAGGTTACCAGAGAAGAGAGGCTACCGAATTCATTAGGTATGGCCCCATCAATTTGGTTATGACTCAGATTAATATCTTCAAGTAACCCCAGTTTGCTAAGAGAAGCTGGAATTTTCCCAGAAAGAAGGTTATGATCTAGAGTCAGAGAGTGGAGTTGATAAGAATGGTTTACTGATTTGGTACCCCAAGTATTAGGAATTGAGCCTGAAAGATTATTGTGTTGAAGAGCAAGAAAAATAAGAGAGGGAGACTGAGAAAGGCTTAAAGGGATAGGCCCTGAAATAGAATTGAAGCTCAGATTGAGTCTATATAACCTGGTGGAATTCGCTAGACTGGGAGGAATCATTCCATTAAGTTGATTATTACTAACATCAAGAGTCTGAAGAAGTGGGCAGTTACCAATTGATGGAGGGATTGAGCCTGAAAGCCGGTTATTGAAAAGATATACTCCCCGGAGGTTTGGAAGGAACCCCAGAGATGTAGGAACAGGGCCGACTAGAACATTGTCGTGGAGGCTAATTTTGCGAAGAGCCTGAAGCTGGCTGATTTTCTCCGAGATTCGGCCACTCAATCCCTTCCATGGGAGCTGGATAGCAATAACCTGGCCATTAACACACTTTATTCCAATCCACCCACCAGAACAAGCCCCAATACCACTGTCATTCCAGCTCCTCAAGACCCCTCTCGAATCAACAAATTCGTGTTTCAAGGCCCTGAGAGCTTGATAATCCGCTTGCGTTACAATGACCCCATCCCATTTCTTGCCTGAAACAAGTCCAAAACTGAAAAACAGAAGCAGAAATACACATAAGAATTTGTGGGTTCTTAGCCATGAATCCTGCTTCCATTTTTCTTTCTTCTTATATGAATCCCAACTCCAATCAGCTTCTCCTTCAAGATGAAATTGGATAATCTCTGGTGGGTCGTTGCTCAATTGAGTCAACAACTGAATTTGATCATCCATGAACTTTCAAAGAAACCCAAATTGTTTAACGAGAACAAGGATTAAGCAAGAAACAAGTATAAAACTCTAATTGTCTATCTAACTAACTATATTTTTTTCTCTCTCAAGCTTTTTTTTCTGGGTGCTGCTTTACACTGCAACCTTAGTACAGAAATTTATTGAGAGAACCGAGACAAAGGAGATAAATAAGAGAAGAGATAAGAAAGAGAGTGTGTCTGGAAACAGGGCATGTGAAAATCTTTTAATGAGAGAGAGAGGGAGAGAATCTAGGGCTTACGAAGAATGAAAATGAAGACAAAGTGTTCAGTAGAAGGAGACGTTTACACTGTTTTTTTCCAATTTATCCCAACGGCTAGTTTTCCTAGTACAGTATTTATTTTTTTGTTGACAAATAATCCGTGTTTGACGCGGGAATGCTCTAACGGCTATTTTCTGGTAGGGTTCCACCTGCTCGTGGCACCTGACAGCTTTTTAATGACCGTTATTCTTCTTTGACTATTCAAACTCTTCTTTCTTGCACTTCTACTTTTAGCTTTTTGGTGTATCATTTCTTCATCATTTACTTATTAAAATAAATAAATTTTTTTATCAAACAAAATTAAAATTGATAACTTAGTTATTTTATCAGTAACCTAAGAATTTAAGAAATAAAACCAAATAATCCTGTAATATCTCATTGTAATGTTGTCAATTCACCACTGAGGTATGTTATGGTTCTCTTATTTTACATTTAAAGTTGTGTATTTAATAGCTCATTCGTATGCTACTTTTGCAAATGAACATTCTTTTTTCCATTGTTGCTATATGTATATCACATCTTACAGATTACTTTACCTACAGATAGTATGACGAGATTTGATTGAATCAAAATCTCATCAATCAAAATAATTAAAGAAAAAAAGATGCTACGGATACATAATTTTGTTCATAGGGGTTTACATAACACTCACATGGACCCCAATGTAGATCCCACCCCATGTGAGTGTTGTGTGAACCATTATGAACCAAAATTATGTACCACAAGACTTTTCCAAACAAAAAAAAGTCTCCTTAACTTTCATTTTGACGTTTCATCAATTTGTAAAAGATTATGTAAATAGTAATGCAAACAAACATATTCTTTTCCTTTTCATCTTTTTTTTTTTTAAGATAACCGTGGATGTCCGGGCCAGACTGAAGTTTACGGCCGAGTACTCATCTCAGTGGCCTTGAGGGGACTCGAACTGGTGACCATTGGGTAGCAAACCCAAGACCTGACCAATTGAGCAACCCCACAGGGTTATTTTCCTTTTCATCTCATTTGCACTTTGTGGTGTTACTTTGAAATGAAGTTTGTTTTTTATTAAAAAAATCAATATACTTTATACAAGTAGGGAACTATATGCGTAGATTATGTATTTAAAAGTATTTTGTAATTAGGGATGACAATTTGTCCAGTCAAACTTGAGCCCCCCATTGCCCGTTCCAATTCAAACGACAGGATGGTTTCGAGGCAAAAATTGCCAAATGTGGCCCGTGGGGACCCCCCACTCTCCCCCCTAACATTTCTGTCTAATTATTTTAAAATAAAAATAAAGTTCATTTAAAATAATCCAAGTCCAACTTTTTTATATCCAAACTCAAAACAGATTACACAAGTCCATTAGCCCAATTTTCCCAAATTACCCATCATAAGTTGAACATAATTACCAAATTACCTACCATAATCTTATATTTGAAGAAGAGGACCCTGCAACAACTTATTTGTGCAATTTTTTTTTTTTTTTTGATAACCGTGGATGTCCGGACCAGCTTGCGCGCACCTCGACTAATTCCACGGGTCCTGAAGTTTACGACCGGGTACTCACCTCAATGGTCCTGAGGGAACTCGAACTGGTGACCATTGTGGAGCAAACTCAAGGACTGACTAATTGAGCAACCCCTCAAGGTTAACTTATTTGTGCAATATACCAAAATTTATTTGCGTTATTGTTGTATTTACATGGACGAGTATGTAAAGGATACACGATTTAAAGCCATTCACTCTTTCAGAACATAGAGGACTATACGAAGAACAAATAATTCCAAATTTCTTCTACAAATGACTAGTGAAAAAAAAAATGTCAATTATAATGCAATAGCATAACTACGATGCGACCTTTTCCATAAAGATGTATCCTATTCGCCTAAAGTATAAACAATTTACTTGGTGTGAGGGAGAGAATATTATTGGAGAAAAAAGCATGAAGGTTGAATATATCAAGAATGTTGGACAATGAAAAGCGTTGGGTAACCCGACATCATCCGGTGGGACACAGATCAAATTTGCCAATCTTTGTATACTTGTCTACCAAGAATCGTCCACATTCTAGTTCAAGGACAGCTAAAGAGACAATCTTAACACGCGCTGCAGATTTAGACTCCTATGCCCAAGATTTTGTTCAACTTAATCATCAGCCAGGCCATGGCGATTTGCTCACGAGTCACGACTCTTTTAAGTCTAAATACCTGAATTGCAAAACATAATATCACATCTTGTATGCTTGTCTACCAAGACTCGTCAACATTCTAGTTCGGGGACAGCTAAATAGACAATCTTACACGCACTGCAGATTTAGACTCCTACGCCCAAGATTTTGTTCAACTTGATCATCAGCCAGGCCATAGCAACTTACTCACTTATGTGTGCTATTTATGTATGCATAGCACGGAGAACTCAGTTGACTCCTTAATTCAGCTTTGCATCACATTGGGTTTCAGTGATGCTACAAATCTTCACTAACTCGAAGCACCTAGTACGATGAATCTCCTAAAACATGGGATGATTTCAGGCCTCTAAACAATCACAAGATTCACTTACATGGTAAAATGAGCTACAAGATCTAGTTTTCTTTCAAGTAACAAATTCTATCCAACCCAAGCAATCTTGATCAACTTAGAGTTCATATGGGTTCCATTCCTATAACTTCAGAATTATCCTGGTTTAAATAGGTAGCAGTATATTTCGGTTTCCATCAAATCAACCCAATTCCCATTAAACCATATGCATCAAGAAACAATTAATCATGATTTAATCTTTTGTAGTTGAGCAAGTGAGCAGCAGACCCCCCAGCTAGATCAGCATTACATGACCAACTTGGAAAGGTTTTGAGAGCAAGTCTCACTAATTCAATCAACCATAGGTTCAGATCCTTAACAATTTCGTATAAATATAAGAATTAAACAAATATCCAGCATCACTGTGTTTGGGGGAAAAAAAAGAGATGACAAAATCAGAACTTGATATCAAAATTAATTCAATTAAACATACACAGTATCCAGGGGTTTCTTGCAGAGGAAAAAAAAAAGGTTCAATGCTTTTCCACCTGCGAAGATCACGATATTAAAAAAATTACGAATTTTACAGATCCAGTAACAATAGTAGCAGATATTGGCATAAACCTTCATTGAGATCCTTCCTTTTCAATTATTATTTTCTTCTTTTCTCTAAAGAAAATTATGAATTAATATCATTACCGCCATTGTTTTAATTAATCCGTACTCAGATCCTAGCAGGCACAGGTGGTGCGGCAGGGGCAGCACCGGTGAAGTAAGAAAGGAAGCCAGGAACACCGGCCTGTGGCTCCTGTTCGTCAAGGAAAAGATCCTCTGGAGCCCTAAAGGCACCGTGCAAGCAAACAATGGCAACACCAACCATGAGAGCAGAAACAAGAACGGAACCCACGCTTGTAAGAAAGATCACAACAACGGTGGAGGCGACCAAGCCCAGAAGAGTCTCACGGTCTGAAAATTGGCGTCCCAAGATTGTGAGTGGCGGATCAGAGGAAGATCGGAAAATGTAGAGGAAAAGCCAGGCGGCGAGAAGGCCAGCGAGGAGGAAAAGGGAAAGAGGATTAGTTAACAACGAGATCGCGAGCACAACAGTGACGATCGAGATGTAATTAATCCGGAAATACGCGTAGTTCTTGCGGATCCGAAGGGTAGCTTCGGAGATCGACTCAGGCTTCGAGAAAGCAGACCGGTCTACGAGCTCCGGCCAAGGGCGGCTATTGGAGAGACCGGATCGGACGGTGCCGGAGATTTGGGAAAACAGTGAACGTACGGCAGATTGTTGAGTGGAGGTGATGGTTGTAACGTCGGTTGTGGTTTGGGGATTGGAAATTGGGAGAACTGCTGGAGAGGAATTAGCCATTTTTGTCGGTGGTTCGTTTCAGAGATCTGTGACCGTGGGGTAGAATTTATGTATAGATATACATCCCTCGGTTTTTGCTTAATCGACACGGTTTGGGGTAGCGAAATGAGAAGGAAACTGACTCCATGTGAGGTGAAATGTTCCTCTATCATCGATTTACCTAAAAGTAAATATTAAATTTAAATTTAAAAAAATAACTATATTAGCTTGTTTATATCGATCATCTAAATATTATCGACCTATCCACCTATAACAACTTCGGGTTTGCGTCGAGGACTTTTCTGAGAGTATAATACGAGGGTTACTTCAGTGTTTTACCTTAAAAAAGTCGGGATACATTATGTTCTAGACCTTAATTTTTTTCGTCTAACCTAATCTCCTTTGTGCTTACAATTTAGAGTTTAGATGGAACTCTTAAAGGTAAAGGAAAACATAATATAATTTGATCCATGATTTATTTATATGTGACTGGCTGCTTTAATTGCCAATTGAAATAGTATTGTGTCACGTATAGGTGATTGTTGGGAATTATAAAACTTAATTCTATTCAATCGAGAGCAATTAATTTACAAAAAGAAAAATAGACACTCGAGAATACGTAAGATTTATAAAGGTACGTGAGACTACATGCTCTTCGATCATTGCAGTAATTTATTATAATGAAAATAAGTTTAGAGAAAAGCATACGCTCTGTCTTCTCTAACCTTTCATTTTTATGATAATAATAAAGCACTAATGATGATTTCCTATTTACAAGACAAATTTGAAGAAAACGGCATTTGGTTCTATACAATGGCAATAATTAGACATCACAGGTCCGCAACTTTAGTAGTGGTGACTTGAATAGTAAATGAACGGGAAAATGTTGGTTAAAGCTTGTTTGAATTCTGGCTGATAGTTGTGATCATGAAGAATAAGATGTCTGAGTGTTGATAGTAGATGAGCAGCTACCAGTGGTCAATCTTGAACTTGTGTGTAGGATACGGCTTGTTTCTCAGTTTTATAATGGTACTTGTTCCCATCTGCAATGAAATCTACTCACTAGAGAAATATGCAGTCTTGTCTTTTCTTTGTATTTTTTGTCGTGTTGAATGATTTCTGTCGACTTTTTAACAAGTCAGATATGAAGAGAATTGGAGCTGCTAAAAATTTTCATGGCAGGCATTGGGAGGGACTGGAGGGTTGGCGGTATGGGATAGAGGTATGGGATTTTGGCTTGCTATTCCTCATCTGTTTATTTTTTTATGCACGAAAGATTCAAAACCGGGCCGCGGCTGGCAGAATTTGGGAAATTACTAGAATCGACAGATCAAATACCAAGGAGGAATCCGAGAAAAAATTTTGATGTGTGTGTCTGGATCCCAATTAAACAGTTCATGTCTCTTGGAGTATAGAATTCAGTACTTCATGCTATTATGTAATAGACATAAGTATGTATATGTCCAATTAAATAATGAGTTTCAGTTATTGAAATCCTTTCAGGGAATTATTAACACGTCATACTCAGTTCTGGTGACAAGTCTTGTATCTAACTCGCCCATAATCATCGGTGTATATAACGTAATCCAGAGAAAATGGAAGAAGGTACGAGGTCCGAATCATTTTTCAAATTGTGAATAGTTGGAAGTGAAATGCTGGAATATGGAAGAAGTATATGTGCTGGTCAACGTGGCAGTCTGGGAGAAATTGGCTTCTATAGATGTGTATATACCTTGAAATGGACAACAAAAACCTTGAAGCATAGGCTGTGACTGATGGAAACAAATGGCTGAGGCAACATTTACACCAGACAATGAAAAGGTGAAAAAGGATTAACCCATTTGAACAACCATGGATGACAATGTATGAGTTGTCAAAAAATTGTTGGTTGCAAAAACAAGTTATTTTTCAAACTGTCGAATAACAGTTTGTCATGTGACATGTTGTCAACAAAATTATCATCCACGATCCTACACCAAACATGATTGGGAAAAATTTAGGCTACTGAGTGGCCATAAAATACCTGCTGTTGGATTAGGCACATGGGAATCTGAATCGCCTGGAGACTCTGTCTTCAGTACTGCCATTGTTGAGGTACATAAATTACAAAATTTTTAACAAAAATGTAGATTAAAACAGTAAATCTTGGCAGATTTTTAAGGATATAGCAATGAATCAGAGAGGCATTTTTGTATCTCAATCTTCATGTTTACGACTTACCTGGTAGAGTCTGCCTGTGGGGTTTTTCTATACTAAAATGTGGACAAAACTGTGAATACTGGTGGCTGCAGGTTGGTTACAGGCATGTAGATACCGCATGGGAGTACAAAGTTCAAGACGACGTTCGTTACTGCCTTTATAATTTCTTCTGGGATGAAAAGCATTAGCTTGTTTATATTTAAAGTTAGAGTTTAGATGGACAGCCTCAAAGTAAAAACGAAGAATGATAGAATATGATCTGTGGCTTAATTTATCGAATTGTTTGGATAATGAGGAGCCTCAAACTCACACTTTGAACTTTCATAGGAAAATTTAAGCTTTGGTAAATAAACTAGAAAAAAAATATGTGGCATTGGCTTCAAATTGATATCAGAATAGAGAAAAGATAATGAAATTACATGGTTTTTGACAGTATCTGGGATAATAAAGGTTCTCAGCTATTCCTCTCTTAGTATCTACCAGGTAGGAAAAGCAATCAAGGCGGCCGTACACGCTAGAGTGGAGAGGAAGACTCTTTTGTCACATCCAAGTTATGGTACAGAACATTTCCCTGTGGTTCTTTATTCTGCTGGTTGGAAGATGGATATATTGTAGATGTACCTAACTGGGAGTGGTTTGATGATGAATTTAGGTGCACTGGACTGACTCCCGAAAGGGTTCGTCCTGCACTCCAGAATACACTTCGAGAACTGCAACTTGACTACATTGATCTCTATCTGGTATTTTTCGTGTACGTATTCTTTTTCTATGCAATATGTGGTAAATTTACATGTTAAAGTTTCGTTTTCTCTATCCATTGGCCATTCCGCTTGAAATATGGAGCTAACAGACCTCCAAAAGCAGGGGACGTTTTGGATTTCGACATGCAAGGAGTTTGAAAGGAAATGGAAAAGTACACTAATTTATTTCGTAATTTTATACGGTTGCTTACTAGAAAACTTCTTAAACTCAACTTGGATAACATGACTCCATGGAAACCCCGTGTAGAATGAACGAATATTTTAGGATTCTCAAGAAATTTATAAATGATATATGGTTTTTCTTCATGCAAAAACATGTATTGAACGGTGAAATTTTGTTCGTGAAAAAGACAGATGGACCTTACAATGGCCTATATTTGGGATTATGAAGACTTGTTTAATTCACATTATTTCCAAAATATATTTTTCTCTCTAATTTTCAACTACACATTCTTCAATAAAATAATATTGCACGTAAATCCAAATTTTTTTTTCTTATTTTTTAACCGCACATTCCACAATCACTATTAAAAATTTATTTTTGAAAAACAAGAAAATGGAGCTCAAACATAAGACATCGAGAGTTGATAGTAAATGAGCAAGTGTATGTTCTTCATGTAACAACGATACTTTCTTTTCAAATGTGAAACAAATTGTTTAAGAAGATCTAGTAAAATTAAACTCTCTATTCTAAAACAACTCCACGCATATTTTTGAAATTGAAACATACACAAGATTACAACAGATGCTACAACCGGCCGGAGCAGAGGAAGAGAGGTGGTCACCACCACTGATGCACCAAAACTCCGCTTGCTCTAAGGGAATTAAACAAATCCAAGCATTGCCCATATGTTTTCTGATACTTGCTGCTCCTCTCACCCGGGCAGCATTTCTGCCATCTATTGTAATGGCATTCAAGAAAGATTTCGTCGATCAAGCATATTGCTCCAGTCTCAAACAACCTTGGAATAAGATCGAATTCAGTTCCTTCAATGTCCATCTTCATCACCACATAGTCCCTCTCCGACACTGTTTTCTTCAACCATTCAGCGAAATCAAATCCTGGAATCTCATCCACATCACCAGTGGATACATAACCACCCGAAGACTGAACTGGTCGAATCCTGCCCATCCCTCTACCTTTCTCTGTGTTTTTATTCCCTGGGCCTTGATTAATCTCGAAGAACAAGCTCTCATTCCTCACCCAAGCCGCATAGGGCAACAATGTGACCCCTTTCTTGTACTCATACTGTTTATGGAAAATCCTATCGGCCTCGATTGCATATATTTCAAACGTCTTATTTTGCTTCGGATATTGCTTTTTAAACCAACTCACAATGCTTGATCCATAGCTTCTAGCTCCAACATCAACATACACGTACCTCTGCTTAAAACTTATATCAGCCATTGAAGGCAAATACTTTATATTCTGTATATTCTTCTTCAATGTAATCCATGGTTTTTTTGGCTCTTCATCTATCAGAGGCTCAGCTTTCTGAATCAATTCCAGTTTATACCCCGGAACAGAGCATTTATTCATGGAGTTGGCACCGGTATTCTCCTCCTGCAGGCCAAGAATTTGTTGTCTATATCCCCCACTGATCTTTTGCATAACAATTTCGCGAATTAACGGCATCTCTGGATCGAACCCGTGAATTTCCCTACTCTTCACCAATTTACAATAGTTAAACAAAGCTAGAAAGGAATTGAAACTATATTCATCTGTCGACCCTGTGTGGACCACCAGAAACCCTTCGGGCTTCAATGTCCGATCAATCTCCGCTGCAAGATCCCCCGGCCTTGCTGATTTCTCAAAAAGTCCACTGCCGGAAAACAGAAAATCAAAAGTCTCATCATTGAAAGGCTGCTTGAAGCCTTGCCCTGCAATCACCAAAGGCTTGGAAGCTTTCTTGAATATTCCAATCGAATCCTCAACTCCAATATCTTTCAATGCAAAAACATCTGATCCCATCTGTGTATCGACGCAGAGGACCTTAAAATTGGTACTCAATACGCCGTCCGAAATCAGATCTTGGAAGATAGAGGAGTGGAACCGCACGCCTTTTTGAAATTCATCGGTGGTCCAGAGACCCGGAAGCTTCAGGGGAGTCGCCGGAGCCGATTTTCCGCCTGCGGAGATGATTGCAGACGATGGTTTACTAAGCTGGCCAACGCCTGTCACAACATTGATATTTTCCGGCACGGAGAAGAAGCAGAAATCGCCGAGGTCACAGGATTCTCCCCGGAGAGTTATAAGGTAAGCGAATCCAATAGCAACCATACTAATAGAAAATAGAATCAGACGCACAAGAAAATTTCTCAGAAATCTCAGCATCCCTGTATTACGCTCCATAACTTTAAGCAAAAATCAAGACTTTTCAAAAAAATTAAAAAACAACAAAGAATCTGCGTATGTGTGTATAAATTTGTGTATGCAATTTGTACATCTCTTTCTCTGCGTAAAAAACAAAAAAAGTGATTATAGTTTATCGCGAACAGAATCGAGCAGAAGTATGGTTTGCTCCGATGAGAGAACGGACGATGGAGGGGCAAGAGCAGGGTAAATTCAATGTAACGGGAGGGGCAAAACGGGAAAACATGGTTTGGTTTGATTATTTGTAGCCTAAACTTACTCCCATAAGCAGTAATTTGTGTTCATACCGTAAAGTTAGTATTTTTGAATGATGAAGACTATTTTCAGTGTGCGTGTTTTACTTGAGCTTGTTTATGGTGGAATCTAGCGAGGCGGAGGCAAAGGTGGCGGCGGAGAAGAAAAGGCGATAACATATAGGGAGCAGAAGACGGTTGCTGAACCACGCGGAATTGATGGAAGCTTCTTTCCTTTATTGGGGTTATAAACACGATATTGTGCTTATGTGGATTTTTTTTTTAATTTAGAGTTTGGATCCCCAATCTTTCGTGTGGTGTATTTATAGGTCCCTAAACTTCAAAAATAGTGTTGAGTCTCCAATTTACTTAAATATGTGAGATTGAAACCGTCAATTTGAACTTTAAATTGCACAAGACTTTTGAAATGGTAAAAATGCTTAAGTAGTTTGACATTTTTACCATCCAGTACTAAGTCGCATGAAAAGCGTTTTCGATTTTATTATACATATTGTCAATTTTGGTCACATGGAGACCTTAATTCATATATTTAAATAGATCAATTATTTAAAATTACACTTTTATAGGTTGGGTGTATAAGTCGGCACAGAGTTAGCCAACGGTTATTTTTTAAGTATAGCTATCGTTTATGCGAAAAAGTCACGATTTCGTGGACCTTATTTCTTAAATCGTGTGCGAATGAATTAAATGAAACGTGTAATCTAATAAATTTTGCAATTGTGGGAATTTGACAAAATTGTAGCAAGAGTTGGAGTGATAGCGACAATTGCAAGTACAAGAAGTTCAAATTAAATTGTTTTGGTTGTAGTGACAGATAGGCAATACGCGCTTGCAATTAAAATGACACCTAAAATTTGATAAGATTGCATGAATAATGTGACAACCATGTGGTGTAATAATGGATCCATCCCCAAAGAATTTATAAACAATTTAAATTTATAAAATAAGTGATAAGTAAGTAAGAGCTTGTTCAGTTGTTTGGTACAGTTCAAAATCGGATTAAAATTGAAAATATAGTCGTTATTGGGTCTCACTCGTCTAATAAAAGTCAACAATAACGGCTAATTTATCGATTTTAATCTCTACCTAACACGCTCCTAGTCTCTATATCTATTCCCATGTCAATACACTCCATCTCACATAAATTTGAATCGAACCATTCAAACAATCAAGCANTGAAATTTGATCATTTATAAATTTTACCAACGAAAACGTATAAATCATTTGTAATCACTAAAACTTTTGTTAACAGCACGTGCGACCCCGAGATCCCTTGTCTCGAGCAGCCTTCTCCCCTTGTTTAGGTCGACGAGTCCAAAAAAATCGACACATATACATGCTTACGTGTAGGATGTTGTATAATATTTACATATGATGACACCATTAGTGCACTCTTCGATAATATAGATTATACGTATAGTTGTAGACGATCTTGCTACTGTCAAATAATAATTCTTATCTGAATTATCAAACATAGAATCTAAGTACAAGTTGCCTGTAGCATTTCTACCCCACGTATAAATATTAAATACGCTAAAATGCAAGATCCAAAGGGGTCATAATGGAATGATTTTTATGATCCAACACCAATCTCATAATTAACTATAATTAATGACTCCATTATAGTGTTTTTTCACATAGTTTTCTGTAATTAATGTCAGTTTTCAAAGTAGCAAATTTTAATGTTTAGCACCAACTCCTTGAACTGATCTCAGGGCAGTAATTAATTAATTCTAATTATTACTATACTTTTCACACTTAGTATAATAAAATTTCTTATTTCTTTCGTATTTCATAGTGAAATACCTAGAGAGAGAGAGAGAGAGAGAGTCATGGTCAGGAAGGTTGTAGTTGCCCTTCCTCTAAGGGCTTGTTGTGTAATAAGTGCATAATGTCCACTAGAACGTCCATAAATTTTATCGTCAATTTCATGAATTAATTTCAATATATAAGACTTTATTGTTAGAACGGGTTTTTAAAAAGGATTTCTCGATCCGTGGGACCTTTTCGTTTTTCATAATTGTATAGAATTTTTTGAACTGTCATCCATATTCATGAATCGTTCATGGGAATATTATAATCGCCACTCTATACCAAAAAAAAAAATAATAATAAAGAAAAAAAATATTTTTGTATACATCCGAATCATTGTTTGTCATATTTCTCTTTATCAAGAAATCGAATAAGCCGTACAGGGGTTTTTTGCATATTTCCCTTGTCGAAGAGAAATTTTACCATTAGACCATATCTGCAATTTTTGTTCTTAATACACAATATATCCACTTATATAACTGGATCGTGTTTGTGCAGTGTTGGGCCAGATGCGAAAATGTCGACGTAATTTCATAATTTGAATGCTACATGAAGAATGCAAGTCAAATGACAGAATAAAAAAGACTTAGGTTGCGTAAGATCATTCCAAACTTCAAGTCGTAGGATAGGATGTATTATGGTTAATATATAATTACTTAATCAAGACTTAATGTTAACTTCACTCGTTTAGCTAAATTAATCCGGTCAAATTCCAAGTACAGTATAATCTTTTATTTTTTTTAGTGGGAATGAAAAATAAGTAGAGATTTGAATGAAGCCCTTTTTGATTTAGCTAAAATTTTGATTTTTAATAATTTTTGATAAAAGTTGATAAAATATTTGGTTGAAAATGAATTTGAAAAAGAAAATTAGAAAATGGAACCAAACATATTTAATGCCCGTTTGATTCCCGTTATTTCATATTATAATGAGATGAATGATATTTTTTTAGAATGTGTGATTAAAAAAGAAGAATTTTTTTTTAATTTACGTGTAATATTATTTTATTAGAGAATGTATGATTGATAAGAAAAAAACAATGAATTATAATATAATGAAGAATAATGAGTGCCAAATGGGAGTCAGCTATAAAAGCTACTCCTGCTATCTAATGCAATAGCGACGAGAACACACCGGCACACTATTGTATATACATAAATGATTGATGTGTCATGCAATCAGTATTTATCATAAGTTAAGAGTCGGTGTTAGTAGATTGTTTCTCTCTTTTTCTCTCTCTCTCTCTCTCTAATTCTCTCTTTATATATATAGTCGATAAGTAGTATTGAATGAATAGGGCAATCATATAAACAATTTTTTTTTAATTTATGATGTTCAAGTTTGTTTTTAAAATTTAAGTAGTATTGGACGAATAGGGCAATCATATAAACAAATATTGTTAGGGATGCATTGCATAGTTGATTTTTTGCAATGTGATGTGTTAACATGCGTAACGCATACACTATATTAAGCCCATGTTTGATGATCATTATTTGGAAAAAAAATTTAATTTTTGAATAATGTATGATTAAAAAGTGGGAAAAATTTTGGGTTTATATGTAAAATATTTTATTGGGCGAATGAATTAGACAGGATTTTAGTGGTCAAAACACTTATTTGTTGAGGAGAAACTAATCATCCGTGGCTACTGCTGTTTTACCGGTATGTCTGTCGCTGACCACGTCCTCTAGGGATCATCGAATCAATAGCAATAAGCGTGATTGAAAATAAATACGTAGAATAAAGAATTTTAAAATAATGGCAAGGCTAAATTCTTTCTTAAGTGATAATTGATGATATTTGGGTAAAAGATTATTTTGTTTGAAATATATAATGCAACTCAAGCAAAGAAAGTGATTGGAACAGCATCAACTCATAAAATATTTAATTATTGAGCTTTGTTAAGTATTAAACTGCTACTTGAAGAAAAAGAAAAAAGAAACTTCCTGCTAAGTTTACTTTTTGTCTTCTTAGGATTGGTTTAAAACTGACGTATTTGATAAGTTTGATTAGAGAATATGTGCAGGTGGAGACAAAAAGGTTAAACATCTTATTCATAATAATATTTTATTTTATTTTCAGTATTATATGTTTCCTAAAGATATTATAGATAGAACAAATCAAAAGGATGACATTCAAGGCAATCTTTATCTAATTCAATTTATAAAAATATCAAGATATTTTAGGGTCTCATGAGTCTTTTTCTTTACGTTTACTTGTAATACTATAAATAATTTAGTTGAAAAGGCGGGTAGAAATTAAGGGATGATAATATGACAAGTCGAGGAAAGTAATATACATTTCAAGAATGTGTTAGAGGAGAAAGTAAAAATGAATAATCAGATCAGATGATCTAGGTTCGACTGAACACTATTTAGTAATTGGAGCTTGAAAAATATCGTCCAAATAGATCTGTATGATAGCTTTATAAAGTATTGTGACTTAATTTCAATTAATATAAAATTTTGGAGCTAATTATAATAATTATGAAAGTTTTAGACGAATTGTAATTACGATGAAAAATGTAAAGTTATGGACTAATTGAACATGAATTTTAATTGGACTCCAATTGGAACTCATATTTGAACTTTATTTGAAATTCGTATTGCACATGAATTTGAACTCCTTTATAAATAGAGATTAGATAGAATCAAAATCAATGACAATACTTTCGTGTCCGGATTAAAAGAGGGAAAAAATTAATTTTTCAGATAATTCTTATTCTGCATTCCAACGAAAAGAAATCTAAGAATGGCAAAGATATAAGGAATTTCAATCATATATGTGGGATTCATTACATGCAAGCAACGAGTTGAAAATCATTAAAAGAGCAACCTCAACAACTGGCTTGCCCTATATAGAGAATCATCCGGCCATTCAACTCTCAAACAAACCAAAATTGAACTACAATAACCCGTGCACCATGTAAAATCGACAAAGAATGAGATTTCATATGTTCTACAGATGGTCCAACCAATTCATTTCTCATTAAGGCACGTGAAACAATGCCAGTATAAAGCAAAAACAAGAATTGACAAGCGTTTACAAAATGAAATATGAAAAAACAACTGCAACCATGTATCTCCAACATTTACATGCAATGGAATTACAATTCTATATACACACGTGCCTCAACCATTCTTCAACAAATTTCAGTCCGATGTGTTACTCTAGGTTGGGAAGCAACCCAAACAACTATACTATACGAGAGAGAGAGAGAGAGAGAACTTCTCAACAACATTCCCCATCTTTACCCTTGAGTGCAACCAAACTCTTGCAAGATTTTCCACAAGATGGCTGCACTATTAGGTAATTATAACTTAGGGAAGATTTTTCATGGATCGCTCCAACTATCTTCATCATCGTCATCACTTCCGACAAAAGCCTACAATATTTTCCACTTTCATCAATATACAACACAAAACAAGAATACTCTTGCAAGCCTGCTCTATGCGTGTGAGAGTGCACGTGTGTGTGTCTGAGAGAGAGAGAGAGAGACCTGGCGAATGGCATTTGCTTTCTCCAACATTGCAGCAACATTAAGATTGGTTTTAGGACCCTGAACGCTAGGCCTAATAGCTACTGCAGGTTTCAGGTTGAACGACTGACAAACAAATATGATATTTAGTTATCTGCTAAAAATGACAATATGTATATATAAAAAAAAAAACCCAGAAAATACCCCTGGCTTGTCTAGACTTACCTTGCTCCGTATTTGTTCCAAGAGTGAATCTCTTTCATCAACTTCCTGCATCTTAGGCCTAATACGTTCTGTCACTTTCCTCAACTGCAGAATGATTCAGTTTATTAAAACGATGCACCTTACTAAATCTACTCTATTTTTCAACAGCTCAAGGAACGTTGGAATACTTACTTTGATTTTATCACGAGCCACAACAGCATCAATCAGAGGATTTCGATGTCTAGGTTGCTTCATTGATCTACTCCCGTTTGCAATTCCATCTTCCACAGGTGGCGATGTGTTTTCACCCTCTGAAGATGGCATGACAAGCACAGGCATTTTCGGTAAAAATTCAACTGCTTCAGGCCTTGTAGGGTGTGCCTCCACACTAGAAGAGCTGCTAACAACCTTCTCTTCCTTTGAACTGATTTCTGGGGCCACCTCTTCCTTTGAACTGATTTCTAGGGCCACCTCTTCCTTAGAATTGATTTCTGGGGCCACTTGATACAAATGTCGGATTAATTCATGCGACGAATTAATGTTATTAGAGAAAGTCGTATCTACAGAAGTTTCTAAGGAGAATGAAGTTAATCTAGACTGTATTACGCTACCCTTTCCCGTAAGGAAACTATCTTGTGGCATTTCTTCATATCGTTCAGGCAACATTGTCGATGAGTTCATCGATTGATTTCCACCGAGCACGAGACAGTTATTTTCGGTACTGCTAGGATGATCAACATGTGGCACTAGTGATGAGATTGTACCAGAGTGCATTATATTACCTGTATAATATTCCTGAAAAGAAGGTGAATCCTCACGTTTCACAGCTGAAACTGGCAAATTTTGTTTCTGAGCATTCTGGTCAGTAACCATTGGCAATGATGATAAGAATGGACCAACATTATGTTGCTTTACTACTCTCTCTGGAGCAAAAGCATGCTGAAGCTTGCCCATCCTCCAGTGGACGGGAGGAAGAGGTGGCAGTGGAGGCGATTCCTCCAAATTGCTCAGATTTGCCTCGGAAAGAAGATTAATAGGAGGAACGGTTAAAATTAGTGGATCCTTAAAATATCCAGACATGTTAATATCATAGCTGCCTGGTACTGGAAGCTCCAATACAGAAAGTTGATTTTGAATGTTCACCGGTAAACATGTAGAAGAAGCATTGCTGGATCCTTCAGGATCATTGTGGTACCTGCAAGTTTTCAACTGTGGTACCTGCAAGTTTTCCTCACCTTTATCTGGAAAATCTTCTTGATAACTTTGATTGGGCAGTAACTTGATCTTTTCTTCTACAATTGTTTCTTCTGCATCATGATGGATATGTAAAGTGGAAGAATCTTCAATATGATTTATGAGATCACCTTGCCGGCATGATTCCTGTTCCATAGCTAAGCCATATTGTTCCAAAGCTGGCTGAGTTGGGGCAGCATTGATAAGATCTGAAGTGTTTTCAACTTTTAAGTCAAGAAAGGAGTTAGGAATGGTGACAGATAGTTCTGACTTGGGATGATCATGATCGACAGGGATGCTGCACAAAACTGAGTCTGCACTTGACATGGCAGCTTCTAGTTGGCCAACTTCCTTTGCTAACCGAGATTGCTTGCAACTGTCTGGCAGACATTTCGTTTCAGTCTCGAATGCATTCTGATCTAAATCCCCAGAAGAACAAATAGATGCTTCAGGCAACTTGTTGAGATCCACAGATGAGCTGACATCTTCATTACTATTATTGTCAGTGGCAGCAACATTAGTAGCCATGACTACAGCATGTGATCGATATGCCTCAGAATCCATTTCATCCAACTGTACATGAACCTCATTTAGTGATGTAGGATCCGGAGAGACAGTAATACCAGTAGCATCCTTTCCAATGAAATCAGTGCACGGGTTGATTCCACCCACTTCTACACCATCCTCATCACTATTATTGTCACTGGCAGCAACAGTAGTAGCCGGGACTACAGCACCTGATTGATCTGCCAAAGAATCCATTTCATCTAACTGTACATGAACTCCATTCAGTGATGTAGGATCGGGGGAGAGAGAAATATCAGTAGCATCCTTTTCAATCAAATCAGTGCACAGGTTGATTCCATCCACTTCTAGACTACTTGATGTTGTCGAAGGCTCATCAAGATTTTCCTCACTACAATGTGAACTTTCCACTTCGGCTAAATCAAGAGGGTAAGCATCATTGCTTATTCTCAAGCCCTGTGACCCTAGGGAGTCACAAGATTTGGGATTTTCAGCTACTGGAATTTCAGTCCCTGTTGTCTCTTCAGCAGAAGTAACAAAACCGCAAGCATCATGAGGCCCAAAGTCTTTCTGGGGCAGATAAAGAGAATTCTCTTCTGTATGGGGTGAAACCAAATTTGGTGAACAAATCGAATTGTAAACTAAAGTGCAAGTGTGATCATCATTCGCACCAACAGTTTGAGCCATATTATCCAATGAATTTTCATCATTCGCCTTCTCAGGAGTAGCCTCCAAAATGCATGATAAATCATTTGAAGCATCAGAAAATACATTCGGATTCTCATCATCCAACTCATCCACAAGGTGTTTTTCTTCGAACACAGTAGGCATGCAACCATCACTATACAGAGAACTAGTATAAGAATGTTCAGATTTACTGTTTTTGTGTAAATTCAGAACGTCCGTATCTACTATACATGGGATTGTGTTTTTGGAAGACATCATATATAAATGATCATCTATGTTCTCATGCAGATTTAGATCCTCCTTATCTGAATCATTCCTATTCAGGTATTCGGTAGATGTTCCCAGTGAATTATCTCTAGTATGACGATGAACATCAGAGATCATAGATACACCGGGTACATTCTCACACATTTCAGCAGATAGTCTTGGTGGGAAATCGTCTCCTACCTGCAGTGCTACAGAAGGGGCACTGGGAATATTAGATAGATTTGTAACCATGTTAGTCCCATCGTGTTCTGCATGTATTAACTCACCAGTGATTTCAATATAAGTAGAAGACATTTCATCTGACTGACTGAACGCACCTTTTCCAACAACAGATGCTGAATCCAAATGTACTGAAGTGGGGATTGCATCAGTCACACAGGAGCTAGAAATCAGATCCCCAAAATCTGTGTGGTCGGGGATTTCAGATCTGCCAACACATGTATCATCAGTAACAACAGGTTTTGAATCCTGGGACACCAAAACGTCTCCATGATCAGTTTCCTGGTGGGATGATCTTTGGACGATATCAGTTTTACAAATACTAGTAGACGACAAAACTTCAGCAGAAGCATCACTATTTGATGGAGAGTTATCAGCTGAAGTGCTTGGAGTATCAGATAATGAAAAACTAGACATCTCTTTTTTCCCATCGTCAGATAATGCGGAGGTCGCAACTGATTGAGAACCTGAAGAATGAGCTTGAAGCTGCTCTTCATTTGCATCAGAAATTGACAGCTGCCTTTTGATATTCAAGGAGACCAAATCACTCTTGCCTCTTAGTTCAGAATCTGTATCCATTTCTGAATCCATTGTTGAAGGTGCATCTACATAATTGTCTCTCTCACTAGCAATATCATCAGATTGGTAACCATCTAAACTGCCTTCTGTTTTGCTTTCTTCATCAACTGATATATCCTTTTCACTAGTCACCCTGTGAATAGCGAACGAACTGTCATCTGCTTCATAACTAGGATTTGGTATGGACAACTGTGAGATTCTATCATCTGTGGAAATCTCATTTGGCTCATATACGGATGGTTGTAGCATAGGCCCCTCTCTATCTGGAGATGATGGAGGACTTCTCCCTCTTCCCACGCTCTCTGTGTCAGGACTCACTGGTCTGTCTTCAAGCAATTTAGGCCCAGTTTCATTAGGTTCATTTGTATGTAATTTCAGTGGGGATGATCTAACAGAGACTTCATGAACCACTTTGTGTTCTGGGGAAGAGGTATTCAACAGCTTCTCCATGTAGCTCTTCCCAGTTTTCAAGTTAAATGGAAATCCATTCAGCTTCCTTTTCAATTTCACTCGACGCGCAGGATTACTAACACCATTCTCAACATGCTCCTCAAGAAACAATTGATGGAGCCTGTACAAGTTGATGCTCATCGTAAAGCAGATCCCATTTTAGAGAAGCACTGAACATAAAGAATAGTTAAGTCTTACTTGGCATGTGCTGTCGGTAAAACAACCTCAGGGGTTTCTCCATTCCTCCAGCGTGGCCCTTTCTTCTGCTAGACATGTACACAAGAAACATATATGAATACAGGAGAAAATAAATGGACAACTTGGGAAGTTATGCAGAGAGTACGAGAAAACTGATGGCTGTTCTCATGAAAATACTCCAAAATTAAGAAAGAAAAAAAGCAGTTTGTAAAATATAGAAGTGGGATAGGTTTCCATACATTACGTAGCATGCTCATTGCCTGGTTATAAGTTCTAACTGGTGGTTCCCTATGAATTCAAGTTACGAATAAAGGTCAAATCATATCATTTTCCACCATTCAGGTATTGCAGGCATAAAGTTGATGATATGAATGTTATTTACTAAACAGCCCAAATCAATATTACCAAAAGAAAAGAAGCTACAGACTAAGAAATTCTGAACTTGAAATAGAGGCTAATATAAAACCTTGATCCAAGGATCTCTGCAGCTTATTTCGTTCAAAACTATATCTGTTAAATTACAGCAGTAATTGGTATTTAACAGGAACTGCATCCTCATTGCTGAGATGACTGGATAGTATATATTCCTAAGATTTGAAGTGTATTAATGTAGATGATAGTTTCCAGATAGGAAATTAATAGTCTGGAAGAGGTTAATTAAACTTCAAGGATGCTGGGTAAAATATAACCTTCAAAGATTGGTCTACGAGGCACTCATGTCAGATCATGTCTCAATATCTCAAACAATGTAAACTATACTGCAATGTCTCTAATTATGCGGCTTTGCCTAATCAACTAGATCAGAAAAGGAATTCTTCACATAGCTTTTTCTTTTTTAATCTAAAAAACTGTCTCGGTAGGACATCCAGATATAAACAAATAACACCACCAGAAAAGACACATATCTAAGTAGAGGGGAAAAACCTGCTCAAGTATACATTGATTATACGTGGTGCTGAAAGCTGCAATAGCCAAAGAATTACCTTAGCTTTGCGGGTTTTCTTTTCCCTCAGAACATCTGTGCTTGTCATGCCTGAGGACAGTGCTTCTATTTTAAAGGATGAAGGATCAGTATAACGTTTTAAACATGCCCCAGCACCAGCAACATCAAACCTGTCATAAATCATGAAACTCGGAATTTTAAATTTATATGCAGGTTTCAGTAACTGTTAGAGACACCATTTCAGTGCTGTTGGATACTAATTGTATAGGCATAGGATCATACTTGTCTAGGAGGAACAAGCGAGGTGGGCCCCTGCATTCTTCATAGGAATCCATTATAAATCGAGGTAAATCCCCCTGTGTGATTAGATTCTGGTCCATCTTTTGATTAGGATGCCAATCAACACCTGCGATATAATTATTCAGCCAATATTACTGTTATATTTATCAAGTAACTCGAGGCATCTTTCAAACATGTTATTCAGAAAGTGAACTCAAGACAGATTCCCAATTTAGAAAGTGAACTCAGAACAGATTCTAAATGATGAAAAACCCAATAATCCCAGTTGGAAAATTATGCATCATATCTCTACCTAAATAAATCATTATGTTGGCACAACAGGATTATGAAGTTCACTGTTCAGATTTTCTGACAATTAACAGAACAATGTAATTTGCCACAAGTTCAGCACAAAACAAACAAAGGATAATTATTTGAAATATTTCTGAACAAAAATAATGAGAAGAGGCTTTGGAACACGTTCAACTGAATAATAAATCAAGAGAAAGTTCTAACCAGAATTATAGAAGAATGAAGAATGATTGGTCTGGGAGAGAAATGCCTTCTCGATCAAAGGAACATCAGCCTCGAGCTGTTGAACGCGAACCATTAAGCCATGGCCTCTGGCAGCAGTCACCATCACTTCTTCATGAAGATCACGGAAAATTTCAGCAGCAAACCTTCAGCAGTCACAAGAGACAAGCAAGTAAGAGAAGACTGACTCTCAAGCTAATTTGGGAAAGTATTTTATTGCTGCTTATTGTAAAATTATCCCTTTGGTTAAGAGAGAATAAATAAATAAATAAATAATTACAAGATCAGATGGGACTACTGAGAGAATCATCCAGCCAGAAGCAATTCAACTGTCACACTCTTCCAAACAACCCATAAAAACTAGTGAAGAATACCAATTTTTCCTTCTTAACAAACAAAATACCTTGATAAAATTTTGTTTGATTCTTAATGAACAACAGAAGTTATAGCAGGTGTGCATTGGGCTAGCTAGAAAATAAGAGAAAAGAAGAGATTGGAAAGAACGCCAACCGCGAAATCAACCTCTTAAAAACTATGTTAAAATTTTCTTGTATGGTCAGGTAAACACTTCGAACACCTCTCATTTCAAACAACCTGAAAATAAAGCTAGAGCACAAGGACAGAATCCTTGACCAGCATTAACTTAGAAAGCAGATGCACCATAATGCATTGATATTTGCAACATACACTAAAAGATAATTAGTTACAGTAACATAATGCAGAAAAAAGTTGCAAATTTGCGTCTCACGAGTGTTGATAAGAAATAAAGATATAGGTGCCAACAAAATGCAATAACGTATTCCGGTAAAAGTTGGATCAATCTAATTTCACAAATTCTATGCAGACAATGATTATGCACTAAATGAGATCCCAGTCTTCCCTGTCAATACAATATCTAGCAGATAAATAATACAAGTGGTTCTTAAAGCCCGAGAGAGTACTTAATTAATGGAGTTCTCTATTTTGCAATTTTCATAGCACTGCATTTGATGACAAGGAACTAGCAGCTTCAAATCATAGTAAGATAATTTCTACCCAAACTTGGTTCCCGTTCGAGAGTGCAATTTCACGGGTATCCTTATATCCCGATCATAAGGCTTATTATTGTAGCAAGACAAAGGTGTTCCTGCTATCATTCGTGTGCACTAGTAATCAATCAAAAGATTTTAGTCATTTCCAAGACACCAGAAAAAGAAAGAAAAAAAAAGGCAACTCCTGTTTAAGCCAATATTCCAAGCCCAGTAAAATATACAAAATTAGTTGAAATCGCACTTTTCCAGAATTGAGAGACATATAAATCCGAATCAAATAGATCTCAAACCCACACTTCTCAACAAGAAAAGCAGTTCAACGAACAAAATCACAATAAATTACCACAAGAAAGCCTAATTCCAGACATTTCATCAGCAATTACGACAATTCAAAACAAAACAACCATAAAACAAAATTACAATAAAAATTAGAAAATTAAAACACTAAAAAAGAAGAACTCACTCAGCAAGGTCACCGAGCTGGCGGAGAACGCCGACTAGGCCAGCCATGGCAACGCCTTCAAGCAGAGCCTCAGGATCATCCTTATCAGCGGCTCTGTACAGCTCTGAATCAGCCAAGCTGTACTCATTCCTTATCTCATACCTACTCATCGGCATTTTTCCTCTCTCCTCTTTTTCAAAACCCTAGCTCAATTTCAATTTCTCCTCAATTAAATTCTGAAATTCACCACCTCCAACCACCTCCACGTAAAATTGCCGTCTACATAGATATTATACAAATCTATAAAGAGATTTTTCTTGTCCAATTTAGAGAATGTACAGAGAGAGGAACCCGGGAGGGGAAGACTTGAGGACTCGGTGACAGTGTTGACTGTTATAAATACATGTCAGACAAAATATAATTGATTTTTCTTTTCTTTTTTATCAGAGGATTTTCACGGAGATGGACTTGGAATGAACGAAACAAAAGGGGCGGATTCGGGCACGGGCAGCTAAAATTGCGCCGCGGAAAAGTAGGTCTCGGGCATCCTGTGTATTGGATCATAGTCATGTATTGTCTTTTTTCACTTTAAAAACGTACAATTGCAACAAAAACAATTTTTCTTGGAGAAAAAAAAATACATTTAACCTGAAAATTAATAATTACAATTAGCTAAACAATTTTTAATACATATAGAAATTGCAACCTCTATCAATTTCATTACTTTCTTCTTTAGATATGTAAAAAGGTAAAAGTAACGTAAGGAATGGCTAGAAGTAGGAGCGAATAAAAGAATCAGAACTAATCCAATCGAGTCAAAACGAACGATTTGATTCAATTAAACTTAAATTTTATATGGTTTTGATACCTAGGATCAAGAATCGATTCTAACTTGACTATTCATTTTAATAAATTTTGTTTATTAGATGAATGGTTTTTATTAGACTATTTTTTTTTATGAAAACGAAACTTTTCTTTTGCATTGAGTAAGGTTTATTACTTTGATTTTAGATGTGAGTGTTAACTTTTGACTATAGAAGTTTGTATTGTAATGATTATGAAACCTAATCAGACCAATCGAAATTGTTCGATTCGATTCCATAATTATCGATGGAACCAATGATTATGAAACCTAAACAATTATTTTATTTTATTTTATCTCATCAAATATATGAAGTGTTCAGGATTTCTCAACTTGTATAGAAGCAGAACCACGAGATTTTCAGCGAATGCTGATGTGGCAACATTTGGTTGATCTTTTTTTTTTTTTCTTTTTTTTACCATTGTCGAATAAAAAATTGTCATGTATTCTAAGTAAAATTCAGCACTTTTTTTGTACACATTGTAGGGCTGAAGGGTTCATATATTGTCATATTCAATATTAAAATGTGGTTGGCCAGACTGCTGGTGGACCCCAATAGATTTGGACCGGTCATCAATTTTAGGTTTCATATGTCATGATCTCTATACGAAGACCATATTATAATCCGTGAAAAAATAAATATTCCAAATTATGTTTTCGTGGGACCTTTATACGTGGGAGGCACATATTTCCTAACAAATCTGCTTTTTAATTTAATGTTAAGTACGTAAGTATTGAATTTTAAATACCATAAGTATGTTACATCAAGGTAGTTTTTAGTTATAATTAACTTTAAAAAATGTAATCAATATATATAATATAATATATTAAATATAATTGAGAATCATTTTTGGACGATTTTAACTTTACTACAATTCAATTATTTCAATATTACCTTACTTTTCGTTTTTCAATATATAATAAATATTACAAAATTCATGTATGAATTTCGTATTATTAATTCTCAATTAATTAACATTCACATTGATCCAAACTCGATGAATATTGACTTGATAAATCTTGATCTACAGAAATCTAGAGTTATCATAGATAAATTTATTTATATTCACGTATTTAGAAATTTTAGTGGGTGTTTAAATTCATATATTAACAATTAATTTTTACATACCAAATGTAGTAAAAAAAATGTTACTCATTCATAGTATTTCATCGTCACAAAAAAAAAATGAATAATAGAAATTGAGTTTTCAGAGTACAATTTTCTTTTCTTTAATTCTTTTGAGACTCATCAAATCCTCTTAATAAATTGATATCAAATTTTACTTTTACACTATTTACGAAGTATTTCAGAGTAACGTGCAATGTAGTTTTAATTTTGACCAGTAGTAAGAAATGGAGGAATCCAGCCACCTATACATTTTGGATACTTTACACTTTAGAGAATCTTTTTTATTTTTTATTTATTTTTAAGCCTCGTAACTTTAACGTTTTGTCCGAAAAAATTTATTTCTATAGCAAGTTTTTAACTTATCATTTTACAAATTATATTCATATTTTTCGTGCCATTTTCTTCCTTACCTCCGAGGAGCTTAGGGCTCTAGGCTAAGTGCTCTCACTTCATACCAATATATATTCATTCTCATTACGAAAAAGATATGAAAAATGGGGGTTGGACAAAGACATGTTGGGAAAGAAAGCGGCTTGTATTATCGAGATAGAGCATGAAAGATGTTCAAAATGAACCTTATTATCGATACGAATCTCTGAAACTGTTACTAGATGGATAAAAAGAGAGTACTTCAAGTCGGAAAGAGAGTAGTGTCAAAGCACGAAAAAAAAGAAATTAAAATATTTTTCGTTTCTACTTTCGAGATTGGTCGATTTTAACCAAATTCTTCAAGATAAAATAAATAACTGATAATGACATCAATGACTTCTAAATCTTGATATGGGTATATAATCATGTAATCTTTGCTTTAAAGATTAGGTCCATTGGGTGCAAAGTTTTCTACACTGAGAAGTTTCATCCAAAGCAGTTCCCATTTACCAACCAAACCTTAACTTCCACCACTAATTTATGTGCCATCTCCATCACTAAAACAAGAACTCTTATTTTTTTTTTTTATTTCATATAACTTAACTGCAATTTAAGCAATTATTATTATTAGTAATTTCAATATTATTATTAATAATTAATTGAAACAGATTTTTTCTTTTAATTCAAGAAATACTAACATATTCAGGGAAGACTTTCAAAAACTAACATGAAATGAACTCTTTTAGATGGTAAAAATTGTGTCCTTAAGTCTATAGCAGGGAAAAGAATTCGCACTAATCAAATTTTGTGAGATCAAATCATGAGAAGGTAATAAATAAAATTCGAAGAAATTCTATTTCTCAACCAATTCATTGATGACACTTGGTATGCATGTTTTATCTAAACAAGATTTGTGCTAGAGTACGGTGATTCCAATTCTATTTGGCCCCGCTCTGAAAAGCTCGAGGAGCGACATATGTGGTGAAACTAAAATTACAATAATTTTTGGAAGTATGTGGTAGCAGAGGGATCGGGGTAGCTGCTAAAACACTTATCCAATATTGTATTCATATTTGATATAGTGGATTTCTTCTTCCCTGCTCGTGTTTTTTTTTCCATCTAAGATTTCCATGTAAATCTGTGTATTCTTGTTCTTATTTTTTTTTATTGTCTATTCTCGCTTTTATGTAACAATTTGTAACTTGACTCTTCTCTTACGTTGCAAGCAAAACTAGCACGGAATATTCTCTTTTCTAAGTGAAAATTTTCGCTAGTGAGTTAAAAGACCACGTGAATTGACTTGGGCTTGAAATGTGGTGGTTCTCACTTCTGCACGCTTAAGGAAAGTTGTATTTATAGTATATTATCTTCTTATTAAAAAGTCCCATCAAAGCAAGAGTAGGGCTTTATCAGCAATATGAGACTTACGGGGATCGTCATGAGACTCATTCTTATCGTTTAGATAATGTCATAGGTCGGATCAGACTTGTATTCGAGTTCGTACAATTGTGCATAAACATTTTTATCATTTTCACTATAAAGTATTACTAATGTTCACCAATGGCATACCAAGGGTGGCCTAAGAGGTCGCGTGACACCAAGTTTTTGATTTTTTAATGAAAAACTCGAAATTCAAAACCCAATTCACTCATTTCATTCCCACTTCCTTTCCCCATTCCCCTCGCAGTCGTTCTCTATCTCCCACTTCCTTTCCTCTCTTAGCTGCGTCTCTCTCCCTCTCTCTTCCCCCGCCTCCCACTTTGCCATCTCCGATTATCCATTCTCCAAGCCAAAGTCGTCGACTTGCCATCTCCATTCTCTAAGTCATAGTTGCCCATCTGCAATGTGGTTTGTGCATCTGTATTGTGCATCTACAAAGTATCAAAGTCGCCCATCTGCGTTTTGTCATCCCTTTAACTTCCAGCCACTGCCGTCTTCTTGAAGGTATGTCAAATTGTCAATTGATTTCAGTTGTTTTCTTCTAGTTTTAGTTTCTGCAGTTTTAGTGTTTTCTTTCAGTTTTATTTTTATAAATTGATCGCAGATAATGACAATAATGAAATAAATAAGAATATCAAGATTTATGTAGAAATTCAAGATGGCTAAAAATCATAGACTATAATCAATGTGTTTACAATATTAAAATCTCAATACTCTCTAACTCTTAGGATGTTGTTGAATGTAACGTAGAGATACAACAATGTGGAATATATATAGAAGTTTCTTTTTGGAGTTATAGATGAAAAAGAATATATCAACTGCAGCTCTAGGGCAGCGCTGAAGAGCTCCGAGCATGGTGTCGAGGTGCCTCAGTACTGTCTAGTCCTTTCCTTCATGATGCCAGGTGCCTACTCTCTGGAATTTTCTTAGAAACTTGTTTTCCTTCGTCCCAAAGTCTTTTTCCAAGTCAAACTCTAAATCTTTAATAAAATTTGATCCATATCAATTAGAACCATTAAACCAAAACTCCTTAAACTTCATTATCCAACCAAACACCAAGTTATAAGGAATTTGAGTCATACCACAACATTTATGAATTTTGATTTAGGGATTCTTCATTCCTATAATTAATTGTGCTTTCTGATTTAGGGTTTCCGAGTTAGGGATTCGGGGATATCTGATTTAGGATTTTAGGGATTTCTAATTTAGGGCTTTCTAATGTATATGTAAACTGATTTAGGAAGATTGAAACTTTCTGATTTATATGTTTGAATTTGGTAGAAATGAAATATGAAACCGATTTAGAGATTTCTAATATGGTTGATTGTTTGTTGTATTAGATATGGACAAATATTTTAAACATAAATTTATGTTTTCTTCTGATGAGCAAAATATCAATAAAATGAATGTTAAAGATAAAAATAATGAAAATGATGTGATGTTGGAGATAGTTTGATTGTATATATTGAAGATGGTGTATTTGACAATATTAAAAATGATAGAATTATAGAACGTTATCTGAGTATGAGAACCTGTATGGATGGAATTAGGTTATCTTTCTTTGATAGAATTAATGACGGAGAAAATAATAACAAAAATAATTAAAGAAAATAATAATAATAAGTTTCAATTATTTTGTCTGATATTTTTAATTAATGTGCAAAACAAAAATCAAAATCACAAGCTATTCTTAATTCAGTGCATCAAATATATATCAGACGATACTGAACAATATCAACTGAACATGTTAGTAATATTTTTATCTCCGTACTAAAATAAAACGTAAGTTCGACAAGATGCATGAATAAATCCCTGAAAAACTAGAGGGTGGTTTAGTCATTAATGTGGCGTTGAAGACTGTATGATAGTTGGAAAATGATAAGGGAACGAGTGAGTGAAAGTGGTCGAGTAGCATTGTCAGTTTTGCTCATCAGTTAGAGCTGTCCGTAGCTTAACATGGGAAAAGTCTGAGCCGACCCGGCTCGAGCCGAGTCCCATTTTGGGGCTAATACTCGAGCCAGCTTGTGTGGTTTGACGAGCCACATGGGTCTATTTGTGTCACAGGCTATTTTCGGTCAGTGACAATTCGGAAAGGAAAAAAAAAATTTTAAATAATCAGGCAGCTACACGCTGCCTTTGGGCAGCAGCCTACAGCCAACTTCCTGTATTTAAAAATAATAATAATAATAAATTAAAAAAATTAAAAATAAAAGCAGCAGCTAGCTAGCTATCTATATTTTAATATATATTTAAAAAACTTGTCAGTCGGTTCAGCTCAACAAGGCCCAAGCCGAAAGCTCAAATCGAGCCTAAATTATTTGACTGAGCAAAAGCTTGACTCGGCTCGAGCAAAAAAAAAAACTCGAACCATTTTTACTCGAGCCTTAAGTTTCGACTTGCTAGCTGATTCGACTCATTGACATCCATAGGTAAGGGACCTTTGGATTAGAGGTTTGTCAAGGACGTTGTCAATTGACCACTATAAATTTTTGTGTTTTGCCCATTTCCGTACCTCGAGATTAAGGGTTAATTGATAACATGAAAGGGTTGGAGGGAAAGATTGCAATAGTGACGGGTGGAGCGAGGGATTGGCGAGGCAACAATTCGACTCTTTGCAAGACACGGAAACAAAGTGGTCATTGTTGATGTTGTAGACATCGCTGGACAGGGGCAGAGCCACATACAGTCCAGGATGGGCACAGGCCCATCCTGAACTTCTGGACTGAATTTTTTTTTTTTTTTAACTTTTGGGCTCTTTTTTTTTACTCTTGTTGCTTTCGGCCCAAGACCTACCCAGCCCAATCCAAAAACTTAAAAACCTCAGGTCAGAATTTCACTTGCTCAGTTGCTCTCGTCCGTCTCTCTCAAACTCTCACCTTTGCCCCTGTTAATCTCCTCCACTCCAGGCGGCGCTGCGTGCCTTCGCCCTCCTGTGTGCCTTGCCCTTCGGTGACCGGTGTTGTCTGTCTGTATTGTCCTCGCCCTCAGGCAACATTTCTCAACAGGTATGCCCTTTATGTTCTAATAATTTTTTCAAGTTTTACTTTTTCATGCTGAGACTGAGATATATTCTATGTGTTTTGGGTAAATAATTTTCAAAAATAGAATGCAAGTTTAAACTGAATTCTAATCCTTGTTTAGCTTTGAGGGTTCTAAATTGGGGCTTTATAGTTTATATGGCGTGTAATGACGAAGTGGATGAATTATGCTTTATTAGAAATAGTGAAAATGAACTGATGAAATGTTAATTAAACATCGTGGCTCCTTATTGGCCTTTTTTCAGTTTTTGATTTTTCTTCGAGGGACATTGAAATGGAGATGTAGGTTTTAACTTTTAACTAAAGCCTTTTAACCGCAGATTATTGATTTGGGAATTTATATTGCAAAAATGAATGTAGTCTTTTGTCAATAAAGGCTGAGGAAGAAATTTTCCTGGCTAAAATCTGTTATGTGTTTCTTCTTCTGCTGGTTCATTTTCTTGCTGATTTTCCTGCTGGTTTTATTCCTGTTTCTTCTGCCTTTTAATCTGCTGTGCTTCTGGTTCTNCTGACGTCATTGCACAACGATATCAAAGTATGAAACTAGCAAGGAACAAGTTTAATTTATAAACTATGTTATTGTTAGTATTGTCTTAATATTATTTTATTCTTTTATCATCATTAAATTCATGACCAAAAATTCAGAGTTCGGGGTCGACTAAATTGTGCCCTCCCTGAACCAATTTCCTCGCTCCACCCCTGTCGCTGGAAATGCATTGGTAAACTCATTAGGCCCTTTAATTTCATTCGTACATTGCAACATGAGCTTCAAGCGAGATGTCGAAAATTTGGTTAGTTCAATAGTTGCACAATACGGAAGGCTCGATTTCTTCTTGAACAATGCTGGGGTGCTCAGTAACCAACCGAAGCACAAAAGTATAGTCGATTTCAATGTTAATGAATTTGATCGTGTGATGAATGTGAACATTCGAGGAAACGATCCTAGGGATGAAGCACGCGACCTGTGCAATGATTCCGAGAGGAGCTGGAAGCATTATATCAACGTCGAGTGTTGCTAGTGTCATGGGCGGGCTGGGCCCGCATGCTTATACTGCTTCAAAGCACGCCATTGTTGGGTTAACAAAGAATGCTGCTTGTGAATTGGGCAGAAATGGGATTATGGGGATTAGGGTTCATTGCATATCTCGATTCAGCGTAGCTACTTCGATGCTTATAAACACTTGGAGAAGACTTGATGATAACGAAGAGCAAGATGAGATTCTTGAACAAGAAGTCGAAAAATCGAAGGAATTTATGAGGAGTTTGGCCAATTTGAAAGGTGTACCATTGAAAGCCAATGATGTTGCATAGGCTGCGCTCTATCTTGCTAGTGATGAATCAAGATATGAAAGTGGTCATGATCTGGTTGTGGATGTTGGGGTCACTACCTCAAGAAATCTTGTTGATTTGTAGACAAACTAATACTTTTCTTAACAAATGTTAAAGCTGAAAAGCAAATTACATAAACCTCCCTGATTACTTGTTTTTTTAAATATAAGGGTAGTTATATTATCACCATAATTTTTATTTGTTACGTCACATTTTAATTGCATTTAAGCTACTCAATCTTTACTCGTAGCAATTATTTCTTTAAGTTTTTTCGTCAAATTCTTATCTTCAATATTTCATTAATTAGTACATCTCGTCTTTGATGATGATTTATGTTAAAATATTTTGCTTCCATGCTTTGAAATGAGGCAAAAATATTTTTTATACTTATTTATTTATTTATTTTAAATATGATGAAAAAATAAGTTGTTATACGATATTTCAATGAAGGTTTTGAACATAAATTGTGATCAAATGCAAAATATGTTAACTAATAAAAATTTTGAGTATAAGAATACCATGAAAAGTTTTCAGGGATAGAAATGCTATAACGAGTAAAGGTTAAGAATTTTAAGTGTAATTAAAATATGGTGCCAAAAAAAAAAAAAAAAATTGTGGTGTGAATATAATTACCCTAAACACAAGTCTTCTAGGTAGACAAAACTAAATACGAATTTCTTATTTTACCCATTTGTCTGGTATTTTAAAAAAATTGAAACAATCTTTTTCTCTTTTTTCCTTAAATTAGACAAAAATGTTAAAAATAAATTTAATTTTAAAAATTTGTTATTTTCTTGTGTTGCACAAAAAAAATGATTTATTTGGTTACAAAAATAAACAATTTGATCTAAAATTTTGATTGGAAAATAAAATAAAAAAAGAACTACCTTAGATTTCGTGATCAAGTTCTTTCTTATTAAAGATGAATTAGATGCACGAAAATTATGAAATTAAGTCAATGACCAATGAATAATGATAGTGCTCTTTTTGTCTATTTTTCCAAATGCCATTTTCTAAAAAAGGCTATCTTTAAGGCCTAATAGACTCTTTATTTGGGCCAAGGTGACCCAATTTAAATAGGGCAACTCACACAGATACTCCTAAAATAAAGATCACTTTGAAAAGGGAAAATTACATAAAACCAGGTACTTAAACTTTCAAATTCAA